TTTTTTTTTTTTTTAAAGAAAAATAAAACTAAAACTTGTGTCTCAGCAGTTGTAGAGTACTGGAATTTTGGGCAGGAGGTCACTCAGTCCATAAACTCCTAAAAGGGAACAGAGACCAGGGTGGTCAGGAGTGAAGCAGAGAGAACAAACAGGGAAGGGTGCCAGCTTACTTTCTTCCAGGGCGCACAGGTAGGTTCAAGATTTGCGGGGCAGACACAGAGCTTTGAGGAAGTCTCTCACACCAGACTGCAAATTCTGCCCTTCCTCTGCTCGCTCCGCCCCATGGGCATGGCCACTAACAGCAGCTATTAAAGCCATAGGCGTCTTTGCACTAGAGCTGCAAACTCCTGGGTCCACAGTCCTCTCTTATCCTTCGCCCTCCTCCACCTTTATGAGAGCCATCATGTCGTCTGCTCGGCCCGCCACTGTGCTGGGTGCCATGGAAATGGGGGGTCGCATGGATCAGACCTCCAGCGCAGCGTCGGTGCAAGCTTTCCTGAAGCGCGGCCACGCCGAGATCGACACAGCCTTTGTGTATACGGAAGGCCGGTCTGAGACAATTCTGGGCGGTCTGGGGCTCGGGTTGGGCCGCAGTGGCTGCAAAGGTAACAGAGTCTATTCTGTCATCCCCTTCTCCAGCACAGCTTTGTCCGGCTCCTGGAGCCCCGGTCTCCTCTAGTTCATGCAAGAGCTCTGAGAACCGCACCTCTTCAGGCATGCAAACTCTTCAGACATAGCTAGCTTTCGTTTTGACAGTCTCCTTCCACACTCTGTTCTGAAAAAGTAGCTGAGGATCCTCCTCACACTGTGTCCCTAGCTTTAGTCCAACCTGGACCCATGTGGCTAGCCCGAGCTTGCGTTCTGGGCTGCTGCCAGCAGGTGCCTGGAGGCACCTTATCTACAGGACTCCTGTCGGTGGCGCTGCTCAGCACTACCATCCCAGACAGAAACCTCCTTCCTCCTTTTCTTACGGCCCTGGATCCTGTAGATAGAGAGCCTGTTGGTTAACAGGGCCTCATGCTTCATCGGGGCAGCGGTCATAGAAACCAGTGTCACCGGCTGGAGAGATGGCTCAGAGGTTAAGAGCACTGACTGCTCTTCCAGAAGTCCTCAGTTCAATTCCCAGCAACCAATGGTGGCTCATAACCATCTGTAATGAGATCTGGTGCAGACAGAATACTATATATGGATTATGCACATACATAATAAAATTTGTATGTATTATATCATACGTAATACTTATATTGTTTATATACACTATGTATGTAATCAGTACTTGTTTTTTTTTTTTTTTTAAAAAAAGGTTAAATAAAGAAACTAATGTTTCTCCACAAAAGGAACAGGGGCCTGGAGCTGTGCGGCTATCTTGTGCTTGTCTTGTCTACACTCAGTTAGTCCCCTGCCTCAGCCTCTCAACAGGCAGCGTTGCACGTCTCTGGGCTGCTGTTATGCTGTATGGAACTCTTTCTCTTCCATTATTACACTCTGACCACTGCCCTATGGAGTTCTATGCAGGGATTCACAGCACAGTGGGATCCAGAACAGAAGCAGACCCGTGCACTCGGTGCCTTGCTGTTTCTAGATCTCCTGCCTACCTCCCAGTGAAAGGAGGAGTTGTATCTTGTGATAGGATCTGTCTATGCACCCAGGCAAACCTAGGATCTACCTGTAGCTCAGGCTGGGCTACTCCTGCCCAGCTTCCAGAGTGCTGGCATATACACGTTACCCATTACCACCACCAGAGCCTGGATCTGACTTCTGATTGAAATTGCTTCTTTGAGCCCTCCCTCCTTCCCCTGGTTGAGTTCAGGGCTGCTTGGGCCAAACCATGGCTCAGCTCTGAAGCTGATGTCCCATCAGGAAAGTCAAGTAATGTGGTTTCTCTCCAGCTCTGTTCTCTTTTCTCTTTCCCCGTGTCCCTCACCCCAGACCTATTGCTCCGGTGCCTCGATTGGCAGGTGTGGCTCCCACCCAGGGCCTTTTTTCTCATGGTTTCTAAAGCCCTCCTCCCTGTGAACGAGTACCTTATTGTTCTTAGTTTGCTAGCTTCTCACTTGCCCTAGACACTCAGATGAGATTCTCAGGAACCCCTGTGACCCTAAGCTAGCCTCTGCCTCCCTGCTCTGCCCCCTGTGGAACCTCAACTTCTCCCCTGCCTCACTACTCAACAGTGGCCTGTACTCTGCAAAGCCATGAGCTCAGGTCCTCTGCATCCACCAGCCCCAGTGCCTGGTTTGGCTCATTTAGGTGCCCAGTAGGTAATTGTCACAGCGAAAATACCAAGCACACTTCATGTTCATTGTCAGTTATGCCTGTCAACCCTCAGGGCTTTTCCGTAAGCCATTATCACTCACATTGTCATTTACAGTTGGCAGCATTGAGGAACACTCAATTTAATTAAGGCCACAGCTATAATGGCAGAGCTGCAATTTGAACCCAATTATCTCTGCCTTTGTCTGTATATTTCTTAATTCTCCCTCTCTCCCCCTCCATTCACCCTCTCTTCCTCCTTTCCCCTGCTCTTTTTGATACAGTGTTTCCTATAGACCTAGATTTGTACTATGTGGGCAAGGATGACCATGAGTTCAAATGGAGGCAGAGCTTTCCTTTCCTGATTGCAGGATCCCAAATAATCACACAGAAACTTGTAATAATACCAAACTGTTTGGCCTATAGGTCATGTTTATTACTAACTAGCTCTTACATTAACTCTTACATCTAAACTAACCCACTTCTAATAATCTATGTATTGCCATGTAACAATGGCTTTTACCAGTCTGCTGGCATGGTTTTAGTTGTTTGCATCTTTTTCTAGTCTTCCCCTCCTCGTCTGACTCTCCAGTTTGAATGTTCCACCTCACCTTTTCTTGCCTGGCTAGTGGTTGTTTGACCACTATTTTTTTTTATTATTTTTTATTTTTATTTTTTTTATTTTTATTATTTATTTATTATTTACAATGCTGCCATTATGTTTTATTATTAACCAACAGGAACAATACATCTTTATAATGTACAGAAGCATGCCATAAACTTGAGTTCCTGATTCCTTCCTCCATCCCCGCATATTTAGGATCAGAGACAGGCATAACCATATCCGGCCCAGTTCTGTTCCTCAACTGTTACAGGAGATACTTACTGTGTTTGATAAAGTGACTTGAACTTGCATTTTTTTCCCCCTGGAAAGTGAAAATTGCAACCAAGGCTTGTCCCATGTTTGGGAAGACATTGAAGCCTGATGATGTCCGGTTCCAGCTGGAGACATCACTGAAGCGGCTGCAGTGTCCCCGGGTGGACCTCTTCTACCTACACATGCCAGACCACAACACCCCTATAGAGGAGACGCTGCAGGTCTGCCACCAGCTGCATCAGGAGGTGAGTGTGGGCCCTGAGCTTGGGGGGATGCTCTCTGATCTTTCCAACTTGACCCTGCCAGGAGAGTGAGTGCTGGCAACACACAGCAGGGCGGGCACAGACCTCACTCCAGGCTGCCCTCCCAGTCAGTCCCCCTTCCTGGTCTCCTGGACTGAGCTGGGCTCTGATGGAGTCTCTCCCCTGCAGGGCAAGTTTGTGGAGCTTGGCCTGTCCAACTATGCCTCCTGGGAAGTGGCTGAGATCTGTACCCTCTGCAAGAAAAATGGCTGGATCGTGCCAACTGT